TGCTGAAGTATTGAGAGATCATTCAGTTGTGCACATGGGGGTGCAACAGGTTCCGACATCTGGTTGATAAGTACAATCTTAAGAAGGTTTAATTAGTTGCCTAATCATCACAATCATGGTAGGGTCACGAGGTGGATGTAGATCTGAAGATAGTTGGTGGTACTAGAGACTATGTGGTTCGTATGGGGCTTCTATTTAGCAAAGGGTACATACTAGTAGCCAAGACATTGGAGGAAGCGAGTTTAACTGTCACGAGGATGACATGCGCCAAATAAATGACTTGAGGTATCTTATGACCGGTGTCGTACGAGCGATGAAGGTTAGTATTGTGGATCATCGGAATGTGTCCTATGGCTTCGCGCCAAGTGAGAGTCCACTATCAACGATCAGATTGCGGGACATGTGTTATATTACTTTTGGCCTGAGATGTATTTATGCGGTATTGAAAGGTTCTTCGAAACTTGTATATGATTAAGAGATGAGATTTGTATGGGATGATGCTAGGACTTCCAGTATTCCTCCGTCCTTAATAATTCTTAGTATCAACGGGGTCATGGAAACAATTTCAGAATACTCGGGGTACTCCAGTAAGGTCTTTTAATGCACCACCGGCACGAGGTTCCTATAATGGTTATTCCAGTTATCCGGTACAGACTCAGTATGAGCAGCCAAACCCGTAGAGGGGTTGTTATCAGTGTGGTGATACTAGGCACATCATGAGAGATTGTCCTAGACTTGAGAGAGGCGAATTTCATCAGAATACTCAGGCTATAGGGTTTATTCCAGTTAATACTCCACGTGCACAACCAGTTAGGGGTGGAGGGCAGGCGGTTAGAGGGGCCCCAAGAGGGGAAGGCCCGACCCGTTGATATAATTGCTATGATTTGGCTGAGGCCGATAAACCAGATGGTGTCGTTACAAGTATGATTTAAGTTATAATAGAGGAGCACTATTCTTATTTTGATTCGACTCCGATTATCAAGGTGAAAGCTCCTTTCATGCTCCTTATATGGCGAGTTTGTGAATTTGTACTCCACTCACGTGTTTATCCCTACTGAGAGATTTGATGGTGTTAGCCCGTGTCTATCATGTTGTTTTGCACACTATTGAGGGCTATGAGTCCAAAAGTGACTTTCTATTACTCACTACAATGGGTTTTGATGTAATTTTGGGATAATTGATTATAATTTTATGAATTATATGCCCTACCGGTATGGGGGTTCATTATGTGTTGTGAAATTATTTCACGGAATTTATAAAATAAAATAGAAAATTTCAGTTGGCACAATGTGCAAAGTACTCGTGATTCAGAGTTGAGGATGGGATCCTTACGGTTTAATGTGATTTGATATGTTTAATCCGGGCTACGTGCTGCGGTGGAAGTTATATCAGGATGAGATCCTTGTGGTTAAATTCATGTGTTTTAAATTCTCCCTTTGTGAAATTTAATTTGTACTAAATAGGGAATCATGCGTGTTAGGCTTATTTGATAATTTTTTTATGTGTTATTATGCATATTTAGCCATATTCGTGCTATGAATATTGAGTTTTAACCTACGAGGTGAGTGCCCAGGTGGCGTTAAATATGACTCGTTAATTCAATTAAATAATTATGAGGTCTTCATTCCTCGTGTGTTGCTGTCAATGTTGTGAAAAATTTAAAACAAGGTTTTGGTTAATATGAGATTAATTGAGGATGTTGGAATTAATTATGAACAACTATTATGACTAGAGATGTAGTTACGGGCATCCGTATAATGTGCATGTAGGCATGAAATTGCTATAGCCGGTTGAGACTAACACAGTGTGTTAATATAAAAATCGGGCCTTTTTGAAATTAATTGGAGTGTAAAAAAAAATTGGCTTTAAAGTTTTTAAATGAGGATAAAAGAAATAATCTCAATTGAGATGGTGTTGTCGAACCCATGTTAAATTACGGTGATGTAGAATCACTCGCGAGTATGTGTGTAAGAATACACTCAGTAATTTAATGTCCTCGGAATAATTCTTGGCACGTTCGAGGACGAACGTATGTTTTAAGAGGGGGAGAATGTAACGACCCGACTTGTCATTTTAAGAATTTATGCTTGTCATTTTAAGAATTTATGCCCCGTTCAGTGACTTAAGGTCCCGAGCAACTTCGTAATATGTATTTATGACTTGCGTGTACGGTCGAGTTTTGTTTCGGAAGATTTGGAATTTAATTGAAAGAACAACTCTCATTTTTTAAGCTTTAAATGAAACGAATTGACTGGAGTTTGACTTTTGAGCGAACGACTCCGAAATAGAATTTTAATAATTCCAATAGCTTCGTATGGTGATTTCGGACTTGGACGTATGCTCGAATTTGGATTTGGAAGTCCGTAGGACAATTCGGCATATTTTGGCGAAAGTTGGAAAATATAAGATTTTTGGAAAGTTTGGCCGGGAGTTGACTTTATTGATATCAGGGTCGAAATTTGATTCTAGAAATTGGAACAGCTACATTATGTCATTTAAGACTCGCGTGCAAAATTTGATGTCATTTCGGATTGATTTGATACGTTTCGGCGCAAATTATAGAATTTGGAAAATTCATAAACTCATAATTCGATTCGAGGTGCGATTCGTAGTTTTGATGTTGTTTGACGTGATTTGAGGCCTCAATCAGGTCCGTGTTATGTTACCGGACTTGTTGGTATATTTGGACAAGGTCCAGAGTGGCTCGGATGGGGTTCAGATCGTTTGGCGCCTTGTTGAAGCTACTGGACTTACTGTTGGCAGAAGTTGTTTTTGGCAGCAACTGGTGCAATCGTATTGGGACTTTAGAAGCCTATATCTTGAAATCTATAAGGAATCTGGAAAATTTCAAAGCATGAAAGTTGTAGCCCTTTGATTCTAGTTTTCAGAAAGATAAACCATTCATCATTTGTATATTTGTATAGAAAGTTATGATCGATTGACTGAAGGCTAGTACTACAGTTTTTGGCTATAGCAGTGTGCATCACCAGATTTCTGATGCACAGAGCTAACTTTGGAAGCTTATATCTCGAAATCTATAAGGAATCTGGAAATTGTCAAAACATGAAAGTTGTAGCCCTTTGATTCTTTGTTTCCAGAATGATAAACCATTCATCATTTGGACATTTGTATAGAGTGTTATGATCGATTGACTGAAGGTTGGTACTGTAGATGTTGGCTACAGCAGTGTGCATCGTCAGATTTCTGATGCGCAAAGCTGACTTTGGAAGCTTATATCTAGAAATCTATAAGGAATCTGAAAATTATCAAAAACTGAAAGTTGTAGTCCTTGGTGTCTAGTTTCCAGAAAGTTAAACCATTGATCATTTGGACATTATACAGAAAGGTATGATAGGATTTACCGAAGGCTGGTAATGCTATTTTTTCTGTGACTGAGTCAAAAATCGCATGTGTCAAATGCGATTTATAAGTCTCAAATGACAAATGCAACTTGACTGGACAGATTCTAAAATAGGGGGTTTGAGCCATTTTAACATATTTGGAGCTATGAAGCTCGGATTGAAGCGGTTTTGAGGCGATTTTTCACCATATAAATTGAGGTAAGTGTTCTATATCCGAAAATAATTATACTTCATGATTATATGGTTATACTCATCATTTCTTTCAGATTTAAATGGAAGAAATCAAGATTTTTACAAAACTTTTCAAGAACAAAAATTTAAGATTTGGAGGTCGAGTTATTATCGGAATTTGGTAAATTTGGTATGAGTGGACTCGTAATTGAATGGGTTGTCGAATTTTGTGAGTTTTGTCTGATTCTGAGACGTGGGCCCCATGTAAGATTTTTGAGTTAAATTTCGAATTTTGTTGGAAAATTAGTATTTTCATATGGAATTAATTCCTATAATTAGTATTGACTGAATTGAATTAATTTGGATAGATTTGAGCTGTCCGGAGGTCAATTCAACCAAGAAGACAATTTTGGAATATCGGCCTAACTTAAAAAAAAGTAAGCATCTTGCCTAACCTTGAGTGGAAAAAATTATCCCTTAGGCATCGAGTCTTATGTGCCATTTGTAAAATGTGAAAAGCCGTGTACGCGAAGTGACAAGTACATACTCGTGCTTATATGTGCAAATTTTATTGGGTTAAAGTCTCAGGCATTATTATGTAGTAAATTGGATAATTGTTGGCATTTATTAAATTATCTATTTGCCTTGCCTAAATCCTTGTTTGTTGAATTTGTTTTTATATGACAATTTGATGTGATTGTTACTTGAATATTTATGTAAATTCCGTGAGTTTGTTGACTTGATATTTACTGAAAATAATTATATTATGAATTTTCCATATGTAAATAATTAATGAGCTAAGCTTAAACTGAGGCGTTGATATAATTATCAAAAATTTGGATTAATGAAGGGGTTGTTCTATACTGAGTATTTTCTATCCTCGTTGATTATTTTTGAGGTTTTATATACATTGTGTGGAGCCTTAGGCTATTTTTGAGAAATTTATTGATTTTACTATATCATTAGAATTGGTTGTGGTTGTTGGGCAAATTGTGATAGGAATTGACTGTGTTGTGTTGTCGTGATAATATTCCGTGTAAATTATTGTGTGATTTGAGTTATTATTATGAGGATATAAGGGTGCACACTACTAGAAATTGGAGCTATGACAACGCTTTTTATTGCGACGGATCCGTAACCGTTGCTATAGGTAGTCTATTGTTATGGTTTTAACCGTTACAAATAATTATTGGAATGACCGGGACACTTAGCAATTGAATCGTTGCAATAGTCTTAAAACCGTTCCGATAGAGGTATATATGGCAACGTTTTGTATAACCGTAGCAATAAATCAATCTATGGTAACGGTTTTATCTATTGTTACGGTCATTAATTTCCTCCTTATTTTTCGCCCAAACTTTATATACCCGCTAAAATGGAAGGGCCCACCATCTGATTTTTAATTTGTTTTTTTAGTTTTTATACTTAATAAAGTACTATGAAATACGTAAACCCCTAAAAATTAGGGTACAATCAGCTCACTATCGGCGGAAATTACAAGGAGATCGTTTATCTCCTCCAGTCATCTTCACCACTTCTTCCAGCAAAATAGCTCCTCCAGTCCAAATCACCTTGAAATCAGATAAAAAATCAGCGAAAATCAGTCAAAAAGACCTCAAAACAATCACCTCTCTGCAGTAATTCGTTTTCCTTCTAAACTTCCCATTATTTGTTTATGTTTATTTACTGGAAAAGGCCTCCAACTCCAATTCGGTCGTCTTCTTTGGCGAGTTGAGGCCGCGCTCGGCTGCTGCTCTTCTTAATCTCCTTCTCCGGCGTACTCGGTTGAGAAATCGAGTGGTAAGCACCTTTCTTCTCTCCCTGTATTTTCTTCTATGCGTATCTCTTCAGTCCGGAACCCTAATATCTTTTTTATGCAATTATTTTTGTAAAATACGAACTATGAAATAGATCTTATGCTTTGTATCTACTCTCGGTGCATAAATAATAGCCTCAAAATATGCTTTGTACAGTGCTTTGTATTTTTGCTAGTTAAATAGTGAATATGGCCATAATAGATTGAATCTTTATCAGTAATTCGTGTGTTTTCATCAGTTTTAGAGGTTAGCACTATTACAGTAGTAATATGTAGTAAAAAACACTTGGACCAAATCTATAACTCACTCGTTCAGCTAAGCTGTGACTATCAGTGGCTTGACCTCGACGTGCTCTGACATGAATATAGTCGGGCCTTTTATCTTCAGTAATTTTGGACTTCTCCTTTGAAGATTCAGAAGATTCCTTACTGTTGTTACTGTTATTGGAGCTCCTTTTGTTGTTGTATTTCTCTGTTGTTACCTTGGAATCTTCCTCCTCTATGCATTCTTTCATTTTTAATTCGTTTACATTTTTCAAGCATTGTTAATCAGACCTGTAATTTTTGCTATGCATTGTTAATCAGACCTCTATGCATTCGTTTACAAAAAAGTTATGAAGGAAATTAAGTTTGGAACAAATATTTTTCGGGGCAACTAGCTCAATTTTTATTGTTGTGTATATGTTGAGGTTTACTTATTGGAGAAATAAAAATGCATATGCTGAGGCTTGTCATGATATCACGTCAATATTGTGATACAAATCTTAGATGCATTTAGCTATGTCAATCAAATATTTATTTAAAGCTAGAAGCATTATGTAGCACAGTCACATTGTTATATATAAGCATATGAACAGAATTGTAAGAGTGACCCGAGATAATTTCATGTCCAACTTGTTGGGTTAAAGCATAGCAGGTTGATCAAAACTGAGAAGGGATGGATTAGTAAGTGTGACCAGAGATACTTTTCCTATTAACTACTACATCATTCTTTTGCAGATAATATAGATAATTGAAAATTTGAATCTGTTTAACTACTTCCTTCATGGTTGTTCAGTCACACTGTCCTCTCTTCTTCCCTTGAATCTCTGTTTTTGTGTGTGTGTTTTGGGAGTTGGAGTGTCTCAACTACAGGTGATTACAATCTTCTGTTATTAAGTCTGTATTAAATCAACCCCAATGTGAAGGCATCTGTGCACCTCCTTAATTTCCTGTAATTTTTGCTATGCATTCTTTCATTCCTTCATAACTTTGAAGATTCAGAAGACTCTGGTCGTTTACATTGTTAATCAGACCATAAAACTATTGAGCTCCAGCTGTTAATTCGTGTGTTTTCATCTGTTTTAGAGGTTAGCACTATTACAGTAGGGCCTATGCTTTCTAAGAGTGATTTAACCTTTCATAGATTTATACGTCTAGAAAATTAGCAGAACTTTTCTAATACTTCTTTTCTGTATGTCCATAATATTTACATGAGATGAGTTTAAATTGAGTAACTTGTTCAGTGATTTTATTTAAGGTTCATTGAGATATAGTTGATTGATTGATCTATTGACTTGTACCTTCTTTTTCTCTCTGTACTTTTGGTTTTCGCTTCAATTTCAAATTACGGCAGTGCTCAACTTCATTCTCATTTGGCCGTGGACTTGTTTCTCAGCTCTCTTTCTCTTTCTCCGGCGAAATCGAGTAGTAAGTTCCCAACAATCTCTTAACTGTAGATTTAGATTTTACTACTCCAGGACTTAGTGTGTGCTTTAATGCAGTAGAAAGCTTCTGATTTTAGCTGACCCCTATAAGTAAAGCTAGTGTATATTAATTGTTGGTTCGGTGGTGAAGTTATTGTGAGTTGTTATTACGTGCGTGTGTCAACGTTGATTCCAGAACCTGTCTATTTGTTGCATGACACTCACTAGTTTGAATAGATGTGCCTTTTATTTAATGGATTATAACTAAGCTGTTAGAGGAATGGTGGTTTTGATTAACAAAGACAGCATTTCTTTTAATTTTCTCTTTTTGTTAAATTATTTATTCTTTGTTTATTATGTTGAGAAATACTGTAAATAAAGAACAAGGTAAAGGGAAAAAGTTTAGAAACTTAACCATCCACAGAATACATAATAACTATGTATGATTTTATAATGGTTATACATTAGCATCATTACTAAAACAGGAATTAGCGACACGTTAATAACTCATAAAATTCACAACAACATTAATAGAAATAACCACTCTACCTACATAAGGTAAGGGTAAGGTTTGCGTACACTAGATCTGTGCTGAATCTCAGGTCAATTTAGAAATCTTCGGAGTAGGTCAAGTAAACTTTTTTCTGTGTTCAAAAGAAAAACAGAGAGAAATACTATGCCCGAAAAGTGAAAGTTCCAAGAAATGAATGAATAAGAAACTGGCTTTCTTCATGGTAAAAGCTGAGGTAGGAAGGTGCAAATTGCAGAAATGAAATGTGGGCACGAGGCGGATTATGAAATGAAATGTGGGCACGGGGTGCCGTGAGTAAATAATGATGATATTGACACGTGAATTGTCTGTGCAGTTGTGATATGAAATGTGGGCACGAGGTGCCGTGAGTAAATGATGATGATATTGGCACGTGAGTTGTCCGTGCGGTTGTGATAGAGAAATTGGTACGAGGTGCCGTGGAAATATGAAAGTGGGCTGAGATCTGTATTCTTATTGATTTTGAAATGAGGTGTCACATGGTGACTTTTATTCGAAAGAATTATATTTGAAAGAGATTTATTTGAAATAATTATATTTGAAAGATATTTATTTGAAGGGAGTATATTCGAAATATATTTATTGGAAAGTATTATATTCTGAAGATTATTATTTGAAAAATATATAGGCGAAAGATTTATATTTGAAGGACTTGATTAATTTGTTATACTTATATTCATTATTTGTTGAGCAATATTTATGGTGTTCTTGTTGCCCTGCTGTGTATATTATTGGTTGATTATTGTTTCCATCATTGTTATTTGTTTCCTATTATTTTTGTATACTATATTGCACAAGTTATTAGACTGGTGAGTGTCTTGAATGTACCTTGTCACTACTCCACTGAGGTTAGTCTTGATACTTACTGGGTACCGACTGTGGTGTACTCATACTACACTTCTGCACATTTTTGTGCAGAGCCAGGTATTGGAGATATCGGACTCGGACAGCGTTAAAGTGTGATCGCAAGGATTCAAGGTAGAGCTGCTTGGTCATCGCAGTCCCCTGGAGTCTTTCCATTTTATTGTACTGTTAATTATTAATCAAACAGTATTGAGTATTCGATCCTTGAGATCATTTCATGTAGAGTTCGTGACTCAGTATTACCAGTTTTGGGAGGTTTGTAATTATTTCCGTTGGTTTCGATTATCTATTTTTTTTTTTAAAAAAAAAATTGGCTTGAATTGTAATTATAACAGGCTTACTTAGTTTTAGAGACCAAGTGCCATCACGACACCTGTGGTGGGATTTTGGGTTGTGACAAAACTATACTTGTAGTCTTATGGAGTTAAAGATAAATAACAATGATATACTAGAATATGAAGCGCTTTCATACTTCCCTTTTATAAATGTGGTGCTCATCGAATCTATAAGTAAAACTATACTACACACTTTCCATGTTATCCGTAGATCACGTCAAGATATCAATCAAATAATAATTTTTAAAATTGCCTCAATATCGAGTTATGATAACACAATATACGGGAGGATCATGAAATCTAGGAAATAGATTGTTTGGACTAGAGTTATTTGGAATTTGAAGACTTGATGATTTGTGAATTTTGTTCGCCGAGCGGAATGGAAGAGCGGATCCTCGACTTCGCTTGTAAGTTTGATATTTCTCAGTTCTGCATTATAATTAGCCCCAATTCGCTACTTAGAGTTAGTTCCACATTGTAATTGGACTTGCCTCAGCGGAATGTTGATGTAATGGAGCCACATGTTGTCGGCAGTGACTTGAATGCAAACTCCATGTGTTAGCGAATTGTTGATGTGGTGGAGCCATTAGTTGTCAGTGAAAATTCGGGTACAGACTACGGGTGTCAATGGAGTTTTTGATGTAATTGATCCATCAGTTGTCAACGATGACTCTGATGCAGAAGTTTTGCATATTTAGAAACTAGGTTAATAAATTTAATATTAAATTGAAAAACCAAAATAAAAAAATATTGGTTGACTTACAAATAATGGGATGGATTCAATGTTGGATAAACTTTATTGGATTTAGCACATATTATTGTTAGGTTTGACGTTTTAAAATGATAGTGTAGATACTTAAAATCATACTAAATCTAAACCCACAAGAAATTTGAATTTTTACCATGAATTAAATATGTACTAGTCAAAATAAATATTATGGGCTAATATAATCGGGTCAATTAGCTAAATCTACTTAAATTGGTTTAAATAAAAATCCAAGGCTATTGGGCTAATTCGTCTTCTATCAAATGGATCGACCCGATAGGAGTCTCAAGCCCAATGACCCACTAGGGTTTTCTTGGAGGCTACTCCACCTCATGCTTATATAAAAGGGTCACACTTCTCATTTGAGAGAAGAAGACATCAGAAGGCTACAAGTACATCAAGTCAGCAGAAGGAAGACTAAAGAAGCTCCGAGGAGCGTCATCAAGGTCAACATCTGCAACCTTCATCCGTGGTCAAGCTACAAAGGCGAACTCAACTCAAATCCCAAGCGAGCGGCTTCAAATCTTCCGTTCGTTATATCTCAAGTTCTGGTTCCTGACGATCTTCAAAATTGTTCGTGACGCACCACAAATCCAAAATCCATCAAGTTCAAGATCAAGCTCCCGGCCTTTGAACCGACTTATGAGGAGAAGAATTGGAGGACTATATCTCTTTAGATTTGAGATATTCTAGAGATTGTAACCCTCTTCACTTGTGAAATCAAATATTATAATTATCACTATTTTTCTTGTCTTTGCTTTTATTTTTAGACGCGAATTTTGGTGTTACAAATTTTGGCACGCCTAGTGGGACTATATCTACCTCTCATTTCTTCTCTTCAAAGATCAAGAACATCAAGATGACTATAATCAATATCAATTCCAAATGTGTCACTATGGAGGTTGCTAACTTTAAGAGCGAATTGGAAGTTGCCTTGGAGATTATTGGCCAAATCAAAAAGTGTGAAGCCGAAATATTGGGATACCAAGTACTTTAAGTACCGTCAAAGTCAACTCTCGTTTCTTGTTCATCTTCTCGAAAATGAGAGATATCCTCTTTGAACATACTAGAAGAAGGAAATAACATTGCTGAAGTAGTAGAAAGAACTTTGGCTTGACTTAGCCTACAGAGATCAAGCCATTCAAAAGATTCCTTCATGCAAAAAGATGATGATGTTTTAAGCACTGGATCTGCTATAGTCTCGCTTAATGTGGACTCTCAGTCAAGCTGTAGCGACCCAGCCGGTTATTTTGAGTATTACAGCCCCGTTCCCCCCTTTACTGCTCATTTTTATGCTTTACAATTTTATGTGACTTGCCGGGGTAGTTGGTTTGGGTCCGGTGAGGTTTCAGAATGAATTGAGATACTTAGTCTCAAGGATAAATACTTAAGTTGAAAAGGTTGACCGGATGTTGACTTATGTGTAAATGACTCCGGAATAGAGTTTTGATGATTCTAGTAGCCCCGTATGGTAATTGTAGATTTAGGAGTGTGTCCGGATAATTATTTGGAACTCCGTAGTTGATTTTCGCTTGAAATGGTGAAATTAGGAAATGAAAGGTTTGGAGTTTTGACCGGGAGTTGATTTTATTGATATCGGGGTCGGAATCCAGTTTTGAAAATTTTCATAGGTCTGTTATGTGATTTATGACTTGTGTGCAAAATTTGAGGTTAACCAGACTTGATTTGATAGGTTTTGGCATCGAATATAGAAATTGGAATTCGTTAGTTTTCATTAGGCTTGAATTGGGGTACGATTCGTGGTTTTAGCATTGTTTGATGTGATTTGAGGCCTCGACTAAGTTCGTATGATATTTTAGGACTTGTTGGTGTATTTGGTTGAGGTTCCGGGGGCCTCGGCTGAGTTTCAGATGGTTAACAGATCAATTTTGGACTTGGTGTTATAGCTGCAGATTTTCTGGTGCACTGTCTGGTTTCCTTCTACACGATCACATGAGAAGGTCCGTGATCGCGTAGGCTTAATTGGGCAGTGGAGGATTTTTGCTATGCGACTGTGTGGGGAGGTACACGATCACGAAGCTTTGGACGCCGGTGCATCGCGAACGCGTGAGGCATACCGCTTTCGCGAAGAGGAATTGTAGCAGGAGCTGGGCACGCGAAGTTATTCTTTGCGATCGCTTGGACAAGTCCGCGATCGCGTAGGTCTATGGAGCCAATGCTTCGCGTTCGCGTGGGCATTTCTACGATCGCGAAAGCCAGTTTTGGGGGCAATTTATTTTGTTCTTCGCGATCGTGTGAGAAGGTCCGCGATCGAGTAAGGTTAATTTTTGGCAGTGAAAAATTATGCTTCTCGATCGCGGGAATTGGTCCGCGATCGCATAGAGTAAATGACTGGGTAGCAGAACTTAAGTTCTGAAAATGAGACTTTGTCTCATTTTCCATTTTTGATGATTTGGAGCTCGGGGAGAGGCAATTTTCGGGAGATTCTTAAGGAAAATATCGGGGTAAGTGTTCTTAACTCAATTTTGGTCAAATTACCCGAATCTATTGTTATTTTTAGCATTTAATTGATGTTTTAAGTGAGAAAAATTGTGAAAACCCTTAAGGTTAAATTGAGGATTTGAGGGTCGAGTTGATGTCAGAATTTGATATATTTAATATGGTTGGACTCGTGGTTGAATGTGCATTCATATTTTGTAACTTTTGTCGGGTTCCGAGACGTGGGCCCCACTGTTGCTTTTTGGGTGGAATTTCGGATTTAATTAGGAAATTTAGTATTTTCATATAGAATTGATTCCTATAATTTGTGTTGACTGTATCAAATTAATTGCGACTAGATTCGAGGCGTTCAGAGGCCGATTCGCGAGGCAAGGGCATATTGGTATAGAGAATTTGCACGGTCTGAGGTAAGTAACACTTCTAAACTTTGTTCTGAGGGTATGAATCCCTGAATTATGTGTTATATAAATTGTTTGGAGGTGACGCACATGCTAGATGATGGGCGTGTGGGTACGTACCATAGAAATTATGACTTAATTATTTCCATGGAATTGCATAATCAAATAATGATGTCATTATCCACATATCCTCTACGTGTTAGAGAAATTTGGGCTGAGACTCGTATTAAAGATCATGTTTAGGTTATGTGCCAATATTTTGGGACCCACAGGGGTCGTATTGCTGTTGAATTAATTATTTTAAAAATATAAATTTCATACTCAATCATGTTAATCCATTAGTGAGGATATTTATGGGATCGAGCTGCACGCCGCAGCAGGCCATATTGGCTTTATATATATTTATTATTATATGAATCGGGCTGCACGCCACAACAATCAGTATAGGCTTTATTATTATATGGATCGGGGTTGCACGTCGCAGCAGGCCTTATAGGCTTTATTGTTATGGGATCGGATTGCACGCCGCAACAAGCCTAACTTATTATAGCGGTGGGGCTGAAGGAGTCCCTCTGGAGTCTGCACCCCCCAAAGTGAGAGCAGTTGATATTATGTTGAGTACGAGAGGTTTTCATTATGTTGCATCACATATGACATGTACATTGTCATGTATACGTAGAAATGTCATATTCCTCATATCATTTAGATTTAATCTATTTTCTTGTATTGAGTTTAATTGTGGAACTTGAAAGCATGCCTATATTTCTGTACTATTATTTTCTATGACTGGACTGTAATTATTGAGCTCGTCACTACTTTCAACCCAAATATTAGTCTTATTACTTATTGAGTACATTGGGTCGGTTGTACTCATACTATACTCCGCACTTCGTGTGCAGATCCAGGTACTTCTGGATACGACGATCGCTAGATTTGGAGATTTATCTATTGGAGACTATCAAGGTAGCTTCTTGGCGTCGCGGACCTTGACTCTCTTCCCTTTCAGTTATTTGTGTTATTCTATATTTTCAGATAGTATTTTTATCAGTCAGACTGTGTTGTCATTAGATGCTCATGTACTAGTGACACTAGGTTTTGATAGTGTATTGTATAAAGACAGTATTTTGTATAAAATATTTGTGGGATTTTACTCTTAAATGTATTTATTGTGTTTTTTAATTTAACAGAATTTATGGTTTATTGAGGTTGTCGACTTGCCTAT